ATCATAACATTGTGAATGAGGGGGAGTGCAGAGTGGGCACCCAGGGCCCATCCGGGGGAAATTGGACATCCCCTTGCAGAAGGGCTGCAGGGAGGAGAGAAGCAAATCAGAGTGCAGTGTAGTAACGATGAAATATGCAATTTTCCTCTAGTTCTTAAATGCCTCCTCCCTGCCATGATCCCAAGTCTACCTTACATATTCGGCTGGACCGGAGGATGTGCACGGCACAGATAGGAACTGGAAATACAGTGAACCCAGGACAGATGAACCCCCCAGGACCAGTGGAGAGAGTGGCGATAAAATAATAATAATAATATAAATTATCAAGGGTTCAGGGGGAGGGGGGGCAGGGGGAAAATGAGCTGACACCAAGGGCAGAAGTGGAAAGCAGGTGTTGTGAGAATGATGAAGTCAACATATGTACTAATGTGCTGGACACAAATGACGTATGTACAGATTGTGATGAGTTGTATGAGCCCCTAATAAAATGATTATTTAAGTTTTTTTAAAAAGGGGTTCCCTTGAGCCAGAGTTGACTTGATAGTAACCAGTTTGATTAGGTTGTTTGTTTGTTTACCTCTCCTGGGCTATATACCAGGCTGTTCTCAAAAGCTTTGGAAGTGGTGGTCCACTTGAGAGTCCACATTAAGTTATCTGAGATATGGCTAGTAAAAAGAAACTATACAGGTAACTGTCCACTTGGGATTCTTATGCAGACTCTAGGAGTGCTACAGCTATGGAAAATTCATGCTGACTGTCTTCCCCCGAGAAGTTCATCTGCCTCATGGACAGAATGTGGTTTTTACTATACAGCATGAAATAACATTTCAGAAAACAATTCTTAAAAACACTATTACTCAAAATAGCCAGTATAAAGGGGTTGTGTTATCTAACAACACTGGGAAATTAAAGATTACCACTTCCCTCTCATTTTATCCTTTCATGGTGTATTAGTCTGGGTACATTAAGAAACAAATCCACAGAAAATCATATGTATAAGAGAGTTTTATATAAACGGTAAGGACACATCAAGAAAACATCCCAACCCAGTGCTGCCCAAGCCCACAAGTCCAACATTAATCCACTAACCCATATGTCCAACACCAATCCACAAAGCCCTCCTCCATCTCATAAAACACACACTATGATGCCGACTGCAGGAGGAAAGCCGAGTCAGTGAATGTGTAAACATCTCGGTGCTGGCAGGGGTGTCTACACGGCTGCTCCAGCATGCAGGGCTGCATCTGGGTAGGTCCATGTGGCTTCTCCTCAGGGA